ATATCCAGGCAGCACTCATGTCATCTTTTTCAACAGTTGGGTTCATTTGTGGCCTTAAAGGCTCCCTCTGCCTGCTGGCCGCGAGCACAGGGGCGCGGGCACATTTCATCCCTGTGTGTGGCCCCTGGTTCCCCCTACACAGTCTGTGTAGCCTTCATTATCTCACCTGAGAAATGGGGTAGTGATCGGGCGCTGGACGGCTTCAAGGAGGCTTGGTGCCGGCAGCTTAAGCCGGACCGTGTGCATAACCCACGGCTGAAGCAGGTGACAGATAAACCCTCCCAGTTGTGCTCAAGGGTGACACCTGGCAAAGGGCACCAGGACTTTTGTCCCCAACACCGGGCCGCGGCCAGAAAGCTCCAGGATGGCCACACTGCCTGATAGTCACAGTGGCAGTTAAAATAAGTCCAGGCATGCCTCATTTTATTGCGCCTCACAGATGTTGCTTTTTTTTTTTTTTTACAAATCGGAGGCAAGATTTTCCACCAGCAAAAACATTATGACTCGTGCTTTATTGCCGTATTTCATTTTGTTGGTCTGGAACCAAACCCGCAATATCTCCGAGGGAGGCCTGTATAACGAGTCTATATCACTTACAAAATACGTGAGTTTTAACAGCGTTCACGTAAAACGGGTGCGGAGCCTTTTTTTTTTGCCGAGGGCCATTTGGATATTTATAACATCAGTCAAAGGCCATACGAAATTACCAATTTAAAAATTAGCCTGCTAGCCCAGCCGGTGTGGCTCTATGGTTGCGTATCGATCTATGAACCAGGAGATCACGGTTCAATTCCCGGTCAGGGCACATGCCTGGGTTGCCGGCTTGATCTCCAGGGTGGGGCATGCAGGAGGCAGCTGATCAATGATTCTCTCTTATCATTGATCTTTCTATCTCTCTCTCTCTCCCTCTCCTTTCCTCTCTGAAATAAAAAATATATATATTTAAAAAAAATTAGCCTGCTATAGCTGTTCAAACATTTAATTGACTCCCTCCGAATGCCTTGGCAGGGCCAGACCAAATGATTTCACGGGCCTCATACGACCCAAGGACCGGACGTTCCCCACCCCTGGTGTAAAACAATCCTATGGGGGACATACTGTTATCACCATTTTCCAGATGGGGAAACTGAGGACACTGAGGCCCAGAGAGGCGAAGTCAGTTGCCCAGCCTGTGCGTGGGGGAGCAGGGAGTTGAGCCCCCCTGACCATCACCCATCCCCGGAACCATCACCCCACGCTGGACCTCTTGGCATCAACCCAATAGGAGACAGATGCCAACCTGGGTACCCCGTTGACAGGGGAGCATTTGAGAGGAGCCCAGGCCTGCTAATTATTACATATTGTTCTCTTTATTATGAAACGTTTAAAAATATACAAAGTAGCCCTGGCTGGTGTGGCTCAGTTGGTTGAGCGTCGTCCCATCACCAAAGTTGCCAGTTGGACTCCTGGTCAGGGCACTGCCTGGGTGGCAGGCTCAATCCCCAGTAGGGTGTTTCTCTTTCACATTGATGTTGTTTTTTCTCTCTCCCCCTCTCTCATCCTCTCCCTCTAAAATCAATAAAAACCTATTTGAATACATATGGTCAACTAACTAGGATGTATGATGCAGCCCCAGGTCAGTGGTTCTCAACCTTCCTAATGCCGCGACCCTTTCATACAGTTCCTCATGTCGTGGTGACCCCCAACCATAAAATTATTTTCGTTGCTACTTCATAACTGTCATCTTGCTACTGTTACGAATCGTCATGTAAATATCTGATCTGCAGGATGTCTTTTCATTGTTACAAATTGAACATAATTAAAGCACAGTGATTAATCACAAAAACAATATGTAATTATATATGTGTTTTCCGATGGTTTTAGGCGACCCCTGGTCGCGACCCACAGGTTGAGAACCGCTGCCCAGGTGCTTGTCAGCCCGCTCCAACAGTTACCAACATTTTGCCATTCACGCCTCCCCTCTCCCCGCACCCACTACCACTGGATGACGGTAACTTTTTCTTTTAGTTTTTAAGGGTGAAATTTCATGTGTTATAGGGCACAAATCCTAGCTGTTAAATTTAAGTCCTTGCCACTGACACCGCATCACAGTGGCGATCAGGTCCCTCCCCCCATTCCTGTCTCTGTGTTACCACTGGAACAAACACACCCCAATAAATCGTTCTCGCACAGTCTGGGGCCTCCTGGCACATCCCCTGCGGGTTTGGAGAGGCTGCTGAGGTCACAGCCCCTCCTGGCTGATCCCAAAGCGCAGGCCATGCCCCAGACTGGAGCCAGGAGGAGGGGAGATTTGGGAACCTGGCTTGAAATGCCCTTGGGTGCCTGTGAGAGCCTCCAGGCCAGGGGCGTGCACCTGGATTCCAGGTGGGACCCCGGGCCTTGTGACAGCTGCTTTCTAGAGCTTTCTGGGCGAGGAGGAGGGGAAGCGGCCGGGCTCATGCTCCTCTTTTCCATACCATCGATGAGAGGGAAACATTGATCAGCTGCCTCCTGCACACCCCCTACTGGGGATTGAGCTGCAACCAAGGTACATGCTCTTGACCGGATTTGCACCCGGGACCCTTCAGTCTCCAGGCCAATGCTCTATCTACTGAGCCAAACCAGCTAAGGCAATATTGTTATAGCTGTTCCTTTGGCCCCTCTCCCTCTGACCAGGACACGAGCACATTCATATTTTGTTATTAAATATATAGTCTGTTTATAAATACTTTCAATTGCCTGGAGACATTTTTGGTTGTTGCAGATGGAAGAGGGTATTATCATTGGCCTCTGGTGGGCAGAGGCCAGTAATGGTGCTAAACATCCCACAATGCACAGGCCAGCCCCCCGACAGCTGCTTTCTAGAGCTTTCTGGGCGAGGAGGAGGGGAAGCGGCCGGGCTCATGCTCCTCTTTTCCATACCATCGATGAGAGGGAAACATTGATCAGCTGCCTCCTGCACACCCCCTACTGGGGATTGAGCTGCAACCAAGGTACATGCTCTTGACCGGATTTGAACTGGGACCCTTCAGTCTGCAGGCTGACGCTCTAGCCACTGAGCCACACCGGGTAGGGCTGTACCACTCATTCTTATCGCTGCGAATCTGACCATGGCGGGCATTCCTACAGCAATAACAAAAGCCCGCAGGAGCCAGTCACCAGCTCCTCTTATCTTGACATTGTTGCCATCTTTGCGTCAGATCTTGAAAGAGAAACAATGCAAAGAGCATCTCCCGTGTCACAGCGGTTGAGTGGGGGACTCCCTTCCATCCAGCCTGGCCGCTGGCAGCGGAGGCGTCTTGGGCGTTTTGCTAGCTGTTCTGGGTTAATCCGCAGAGTGGTTTGCTTAAAACCCGTGCCAGCACACAGTGGGCCCGCACCAGTGACTCAGCGTCCGTTACAGCGAACCTCATTATTCACGGACCCTGCATCTGTGACTTTGCCTGCTCGCTAACATCGGTGACCCCCAGCTCTGCCATACACATGCTTCTTTCCAGGCCACTTGCAGACGTGTGCAGAGCCGTGAAAAACGCACACCACGTGTGTGTCCGGCCCAGGCCCCGCCTGGTGATCCTAAGGCCAGGGCGGCGGGATGTGCCCTGCAGGAAAGACTGTTCGCGAAGCTGCGCTCAGGCCCGAGCTAGCGTGCTGTGGGCTGCGTGTTCAGTGTAAACACCCAACAGTTTGTATGAAATCAGGCGTCCCGAGACAGTCACAGGGAAAGCATGGATTGGTGGAGGGAAGTGTGACGAGGCTTGTGGGGACACCTAGTCCCTTGTGTGTCCTGGGAGCGGGGGTTCGGGTTCACCGTTCAGTGTTCCTGGCAGCATTAGAACAGAAGTCAGAATTGGCTGGATTTGTTAGAATGATGCGCCAGTAAATGCTGTTGTACAGTGTTATATACACTAGAGGCCCGAGGCACGAATTCTCGCAAGAGTGGGCCTTCCTTCCCCTGGCTGCCGGCACTGGCACCCGGGACCTGGGCTTCCCTCGCAGCCCTGGCTTCGTCTGGAAGGTTTTCCAGAAGGACATTTGGTCTAATTAGCATATTACACTTTTATTATTATAGATTATATACCAGGTGTATATATCCTGTCCTATGCATGTGTACATACGGCACAGTATGTGTGTGTATATGATCATGTATAGTGATGGTTTATGCGGCTTTAAAGTGGATTTGACCTCTCCTTTTAACCTCGTATCTTCAACCCTTCTGCTCTCTCTCCTGTCCCCATCCCGTTACTCCCCTCCCAGCGTCATCTTTCTCCATCCGCTGACTTTCTCACTCACAGCCTCTCTCTCGTTCTCTCTCCACAGCTGGCCCCCGAAAGGACACTCCCCAAGTCCCCTGCTGGGGGCCCCGCGTAGACCTGGAGCGGACACCCCCTCCTTCCCTTCATGATTCGTTTGTAGCACAGGTAACCAGCGGGAGGGGGTCCCCATGCTCCCCAGTTCACCCTCCTGGGCCCACCTAGGCCCCTGGCTGGGAAGGGACATTCTGTCCTGGCAGAGCCTGCAGCCCCTCGTCTCCAGCCGGGCCCCTGGGCCATGTGGGCACCCCCACAGGTGGGGCTGGGACTCGGAGCCAGAGATAAGCCACCGCCACTAAGTGCAGCAACGCCGAGGACGGGCCCGCTCTGGGAGGGGGAGTGAGTGGCACGCGGGGCTCTGGGGTGCGCACGTCCGTGTTGCCTGCCCTGTTGCAGACCTGGCTTGCCCCCTGGGCCCGTGAACTATGCATGTGCGTGCGTGCATGTGTGTGTGTGTGTGTGTGTGTGTGTGTGTGCGCGTGCGCACCATGAATCCTGGGAAGTATGGGTACCGTTTTAGGCCACACACATGCTTCTGGCAGCAGTGTCTCACCTTCATCAGCTTCTCCCCGACCCTATTCAGTGAGGACCCTCACCCAGCTCTGAGAGAGCCCACCTGCCCCTGCTTGCATCACAGCAGCTGGGGGCCACGGGAGCTGAGTGGCGATTGGGAGGGCTTAGTGAGGGCTGCTCAGAGCACACTGTGTGGGGAGGGGCTCCCCAGCCGAGCGAGCATGTGAGACTAGGTATGGGGTTCCACGGCAGTCAATGGCGTCTTTGGGGAGGTCCAGAGAACCTCTAAGAAAAGGCCCCTGGGCTGCAGCGCGGAGGGACTGGGTATGGTTCTCTGTCCTCCGAGCATCACTGGGCAGGAAGGACGGGCAGGGAAGGCTGGGTCGATTGCGCTGGAAGGAGAGAATGAAGGATGTTCGAGTGGCACTTTGGCCAGATGGACAGGGGAAGCTTGGAGGGATGGAGGGTGTCAGGAAAGACAGAAGGTTGGGTGGGCTGGGGATGGATGGGCGGATGCAGAGAACTTCCAGTCCCTTGCCTATAGGGCGGGGCTAACGGCATCCCTCCCTGTCCCGGGGGTTGGACAAGCTAACGATTGTACAGGGCTTGGGACGGGGCCTGGAGCAGTGTAAATGCTTGGCACCTGTCAGCCGCCTTCATCCTCATCCTCATCCTCATCCTCATCATGCTGAAGGGCTCAGCCTCCATTTGCTCATCTGCAGAGTGGGAGTGGCAGGGCCCACCTGAGGGATGCTGGGAGGATGAGCTAAGAGAGTGTGGAGTGCTTAGCACCGGGCTGCTCAGGGTCAGGCTCGCTGATATCATCATCGTTATCAGAGTCTGGGGACAGAGAGTGAGAGGGGAGGGGGGAAAGGCCTGGGCTGGCAGTTCTGCAGGGAGGGCACCCCCACCCATGCCCATGGGAACAGAACCCTGACCCCCCACCCCCATCCAGGGGCCGGACCCCGGGAGTGGTCCTTGAAGGGAGGTCCTGGTATGCTGCTGTCATCTAACCTCTCTCCCTTGCCCTCTCCCTGCCCTGCCCACCCCACCCAGTGGCGATGGATGATGAGGATGGGAGATGCTTACTAGACGTGATTTGGTGAGTAACTGGCTCCCCCCACCCTCCTTTTCCCTCCCCTCCCCACCCACCCCTTGCCTCCTCAGTGCCTCTTCCCTTCTCTCTTTCAGTGACCCTCAGGCCCTCAATGACTTCTTACATGGATCCGAGAAGGTGAGTGTTGGGCAGGGAGGTGTCTGGGGCAGGGGCTGTGGAATTGGGAACTGACACCTACCCCTTGACTTCTGTGAGCTGGGCAGTGTGGTTGTGGAGGAGAGCAAAAGAGATGGCAAATCCCTGACCTCACGCCGTACACATTTCCTTGGTCAACAGAGTAACCAATAAAAGTGACTGTGGAAAGCACCGTGCAGAATAGGACGAGAAATAATAGTGTCACTTGTACAACAAAAGAGGTTTGAAAGGAAATGAATGGGGGGTGGGGGCAGGGGCTTCTTTAGCCAGTATGGTCAGGGAGAGGCACTCTAAGGAGGTGACATTGAAGGTGAACCTGAAGGTGCCACGCTGCTCTGGGCAGCCAAGAGCAGGTACAAAGGTGGGAAAAGTTGGCACGGTTGAGGAACAGAAAGAAGCCTGTTGGGCTGGACCGAAGGGGAGACTGGTAGGAGGTGAGACTGGAGGTGAGAGGAGTCACCTGGTCATGCAGAGCCCGGAAGACCTGGATCCAGGAGTTGAGGTTTTATTTTGAAGGTGACAGGCAGCTCTGGCGTGTTGTCAAGCAGGAGAAAGCCATATTCGATCGATTATCACCGCAGAGAGTGGGACAGAGCAGGGGGGAGTGGAAGTCTGTTTATCCATGAGGAGTTGTGTCAGTCATCTAGGGCTGTGTAACAAATCGTCCCGACGCTTGGCGACTTAAACCGACACGTTAGAGCTCTGGCAGTTTGTGAGGGTCAAGAGTCAGGGAGCGGCTTAGCTGGGAGTCTGGCTCGGGGTCTCTCCGGGGGTTGCAGTCAGGTGTCGGCTGGGGCTGCTGTCGTCTGAGGGCCTGTCTGGGGCCGCAGCTCCTCACCACGGGGACATCTCCTTGGGATGCTACCTAAGTGTCCTCACGACTCGGCAGGTGGCTCCCCCAGAGCGAGGGACCCAAGGGTGGAAGCTCAGTGCCTTTTGTGACCTAGTCTCCGAAGTCACACATTGTCACTTCCGTCAGATTGTATTCGCTAGAAGCAGGTCACAGGTCACTGAGCCAGCCCACACCCGTAGGGAGGGAAAGGAGAGGGGAATGCAATGGGATGAGGAGGGCCTGGGCCCCGGGGCAGGGGTGAGGAGGGTCAGGTGCTGGTGGGGTCTGGGTGGGAGGCAGTCTCCTAGACTTGATGTCAAGGAGGAGAGGTGTCTGGAATGCCTCCTGGATTTTGGCCGGAGCCGCTGAGCAGGCTGTGATCCGGGTTCCTGGGATTGGGAGTTTGGCCTGGATTCCAGGGATCCAGGGAGGGCTGTTGGATGTAGTCTGTGGCTCTGGAGAGACACCCGCTGGAGAGATTGGCGAGGAGGCCACCTCGGCCATGGACAGTCACCCTCACCCGGCGCTTATGGATGCAGGCTCTGTCCTAGGTCCTGAAGGCGCTCCTGGAAACCAGCCTGGCTGGGGGCATGTGCCGGGTACTTGGGGGGACTTAGTGGGAAGGGATGAGAGTTGTTGGGAGGGGGTGGCATATGTGACAAGCCCTGGAGGATGTGCTGCCAGGGGGAAAGGCGGGATTCTCTCATCACCGCACCGTGATGTCAGGAGAGCTTGAAGCCAGGCTGAGGGACCCAGTGCTGGGGACGTCTTGCCCCCCACCCCCTCTTTGTCTTTTTGCTCTAGAGCAGGGCTGGTTTACCGTCCAGCTGACCTTTGACCTTAGGTGGGGGCGGGTCTTGTTACAGCTCGATGGTGACGACCTCCTGGATAATCCTGGGGAGGCCCAAAGTGCCTTCTATGAAGGTCCTGGGGTAAGTGGCTCCGGGGCTGGGGGAGGGCTGCAGGCTCCCAGTCATCCCCCAAGCCGTCCACAGCGGCAGCCGGTGGGAGGGAGGCCCCGAAGGCAGGAGGGAGGGGTCACGTGACACCCATCCCCATGATGCACTGTGCTGGGCCGAGGGTGGGAGGCAGTCAGAGAGCAGGGTGGGGAGGTGGGGCCCCTGCTGCTGGAGCACCCTGGCTGGGCCCTGGCCTGGCGGGGGGGCCTTGGGGGTCAGCGGTGCAGAGCTGTTCTGGGGAGTTGAGACAGATGCTGGCTCTGGGGTTCACCGGGGAATACTCCTCTGGGAACAGGCCCTGGAGCCTGTCCCTGCTCAGCCATTGGGGGGTGACCCGGGGGGGAAAGGGATCAACTGATACGGACCTCTGTCTCCATCTGAAAAGTGAATGCGGGTGATGGACAAAGCCCAGAGGGGGCGCCACAGTGGTCATTTATTGAGCACCCACTGTATGCCTGGCTGTGCTCACCCATTACTGACTGTCCTTGTCTTCCTCTTCTTCCTCTCCTGCTGCTTCTGCCTCCCTCCCCCTTTTCCCTCCTCCCGCTTCATCATCATAACTATCACTCACGGAACATGTATTCTATGCCAGACCCTTAAAGTAATTTTCATTTCGTTCTCACAACTATAATAATATATTCTGAATAGGTTATCTTTCGTAACATAAATGATTACATCCAGAACCCAGCAAATAAACATCATTTCATGTTATTGCCTTTATAGATCTGGAACAGTGAGCCTATATTCTTGCTCCGTGATCATTATTCTCATCGCTGCTGTCATTGTTCAGTGCCCACACGGTCCCTGGTTGGGCTCCATGCACCTCCCGTACTTAATGTCAGGGAATGTCACGACCACCCTAGGTAGCTCTCTGGCCAAATAGCCACTTTCCACAGGGCCTTCCTATCTGGGTTCCATGCCCTGAGCATAATTACTGCCTGTGGGATATTCGTTCACATACTCACACATGTATTTATTCCCACGTGTCCTGGGTTGTGCATGGAAAGTACTTAAGAAATGTCAGAGTCCAGCCAGTGTGGCTCAGTGGTTGAGCATCGACCCATGAACCAGGAGTCACGGTTTGATTCCCAGTCAGGGCACATGCCCAGGTTGTGGGCTCGATCCCCAGTAGGGAGGTGTGCAGAAGGCAGCCGATCAGTGATGCTCACCATTATGTTGCTATCTCTCTCCCTCTCCCTCCTTTTCTCTGAAATCATTAAGAAGAAATGTGAGACTCGGCGCATGTGGCACAAACTAAGGTTTGTGTGCAGTAGCAGCTGCTGCTGTTACGTTTATGGTTGTTATTATTTCTGTTTTTTAATCGTCACCCGAGGGTATGTTAATTGAATTTTAGAGAGAAAAACATCAATCGGTTGCCTCCTATATGCGCCCCGACTGGAGGTCGAACTTTATTCCAGAGAGGAAGGGAGAGGGAGAGAGAGAGATAGAAACATCACTGATGAGAGAGAATCATTGATCGGCTGCCGCCTGCACGCCCCACACTGGGAATCGAGCCCGCAACCCAGGCGTTTGCCCCAACCAAGAATCGAACCGTGATCTCCTGGTTCATAGGTTGACTCTCAACCCCTGAGCCACTCCAGCTGGGCTCCATGGCTTTTTAGAGAGAGTGGAAGGGAGGGAGAGAAGCGGGGAGAGAGAGGGAGAGAAAGAGAAACATTGATGTGAGAGAGAGAGAGACATCAACTGGTTGCCTCCCAGGCGTGCTCTGACCAGGGGTGGGGAGCGAACTGGGAATCGAACCTGCGACCCTTCGGTGCTTGAGCCGGCGCTCTAACCATTTAGCCACCAGCCAGGGTGAACCATGACCTTTTGTCTGAAACCTTCAGGGCAGGTATTTTTCAGATTCTGGAAAGGTGATGCAGGGGCATGTGTGCTGCTCATAGCAACAGGCCACTCGTTCGCTTTTCAGTGGCCAGGTTTCAGGAGAGTCGTCACGTGGGTAAATGATGCCTTTTCCCCAGAGCCCCCATGGGTGCTGGTCAGGTTTTGCTTCCGCCACGTTATAAAAGCATCCGTGCTTTTCAGAGCCTCTGGGGTTTGGGAAATGCAGGTGAGAATCAAGGGCCTCGTAGGGCTGTTCAGTAAATGGTTTTTGTTCTACTGATGTGTGCAGTGGGGATAGAGGCCACGTTAAGCAGGCTCCCAGCTAAGCCCTGGGGAGCTGGGAGCCGACCCGGTCCAGCCACTTCCAGAAGGAATGTCCTCTCTGTGCCCCCCCAGCACCTCGTGTGTGTTGCGGCCGTGCCCTGCGCGGGCCCTTTGCTCATCTCAGGCCTTTCCTTCCCATCTTATCTGGCCTCCAGCTCCACGTGCAGGAAGCTTCTGGCAACCACTTGAACCCGGAGCCTAGCCAGCCAGCCCCCAGCGTGGACCTGGACTTCCTGGAGGATGACATCCTGGGCTCGCCCTCCGCGGGGGGCGGCGGCGGCGGGGGCGGGAGCGCCGACCAGCCCTGCGACATCCTGCAGCAGAGCCTCCAGGAGGCCAACATCACCGAGCAGACGCTCGAAGCCGAGGCCGAGCTGGCCCTGGGCCCCTTCCAGCTGCCCACGCTGCAGCCCGCAGATACAACTCATTTTTGTGTGATTTCCCGTAAACATCCCGCCGGGGCCCCCGGGCCCCAGGCCCTCTTCCCGGGGGGCACAGACCTGCTGGGACTACAGGCCCCGCCCACCGTGCTGACCCACCAGGCCCTGGTGCCGCCCCAGGATGTGGTCAACAAAGCCCTGAGCGTCCAGCCCTTC